CTGAATCATTAGAGAAAACTGGACACTACATGAATAGCTTATGTTACAGAAATGAACAGTCATTGGGTCTTTCTTTTTCAGTCTCTGAAGTGGTCATTAATAACAATAGCACTGACTTGTATATCGCTTCATAATGCTTTTACAGCCCTCTCTAAGTGGTTTACAGAGTCAGTATATTGCCCCCAGCAATCTGGGTCCGCATTTTACCCACCTCGGAAGGATGGAAGGCTGCTTTCCATTCTGAAACATATAATCTATGGATCTGAAAATCCAACCTTGAGCCAGTGAGATTTGAATTGCCAAACTACAGCTAGCAGTCAACACTCTAACCCTACTGCGCTACCTCAGCTCTATTAAATGACCTGACAGAACATATAGAGATCACTCTTCAAGAGTTTCTTGAGCAAAGAGTTTCTCAACACACACATATTGGAGTTAATTTCTCATACCAAATCTATGGCAAATGAAACAATCTCTCAATGCCCTCCCCTAACATCAAGGCCCCACTTGTCCCTTTGTATTTCAAATGGACACATCTGATTTTGCTTAGCAGGGCAATCCTTTTCCAGACAGTTAAGGATTTGGGACACAAATTTTCCCTTGTGTCTTTTATTCTAGACAGTGGCTGCCCACTAAAGGAAACTCTGACGTTTTTAACATGGAACTCTTGGCCTTTCTCCTGGAAAGGCCCCACATTCTGCTGAGGTTTGAACAGACTACAAAAAGCTGGAACATCTACAGATTTCACAGAAAGTCATACATCAATTCAAGTGGGCACAATTACCCCCCATTTTAATGTTCATCTCATCTGCACCCCTAGTTATGTGTGATCTTTTATGTAAGTCTTAATATTTTCTTCCCTGTGATCTGATTTCCTTTTCTAGCTTGCAATTAGAATATTCCACCCTTTAACTAGCACCTTCTGTTGCTGAAATTGGATTCTGAACAACATACTCCTAACTTCACTAAATAAATTTGCATAAGTAATAGCAAAACACATGTTTGGATAAGTGTTCAGACAGATGGTCTTCAGGGATGTCTTCTGATTTATCCTTTCCTGTTTCTAAAAATGGAGAGAATTCTAATCAGAGGTGGGTTTCTACAGGTTCAGACCGGTTCAGCCAAACCAGTAGTGGTTTGGTGGCCTGGGACACCAGAACTGGCAATGACCCAGGCCTGCCACACCTCCGAACCAGTTCCCTGTTCGACGCAGAATGTTTTTTTTTAATGTTCTGCGCATGCGCACACCGAACTGACAGTAATGCTGGCAGCAATCCACCCATGATTCTAATTCTATAGCTAGTTATATATTCTCCCTTCCCTAAGAAAAGTACTGAATCACTACTATGATTGTAAGATTATGGACAATTTAAGAACTATCCACCACTATTGGTGGTCTCACACCAAGCAGATATAAAAATCTATGGATCTTCTTGTCACATAGGCTACTCTGCTAAGTCTGTAACCACTAAACTAACTAGTCTCTTACATCTCTTGAATGAGAAAAAGAGATGCAATAATTTTGAACGTCTATGGAGATTCTCAGTCATTCAGGTTTTGGTTGTCCCAAAGGATGGAACAACCAGGTCATGATTGACAACCAGCTCTGACTGGATGGTGGGGGACAGAACAATTCCCCACCATCCAGTCAAAGCTGAAGAAGCTTCTTAGATGAGAAGCAAAACGTCTTCAAAGAAAAACCAGAAAAACCCGTTGCCTCTTGAAAAAGCACCTTTGGGACAATAATTTTCTCCCTTGATTTCAATATAAACAGGGCCTAGTTTTGCTCCAAAGCAAACAACTGAAATTCTTTAATAACTATTGTACAATATTTCTACTTATCTGAGGATTTGTGGCCTTGGAATCTGATCTGATTTCATTTAACTTATCAAAATTACACTCTCAATATCTATCCTCAGCTGCAGTTTCATCACACTCTCAGTAACTTAATAATCCCCAGCTAGGATCCATTTAGCTTCTGAGGGATAAATAGATGCAAAATAAGAGTTAAGAATTTTGTTTTTCTCGTCATCCACCATTGTCACTTTATGGATTACCTTTTGATCTTCAAGCAACAGATATAAATGATTGTTTATATAGAGACCTAACACCATGAAAGCCTGTTCAAAATTGTTTGTAAACTTACATACTTTGCAATTCCAACCAGAAACCGCAAAAGCATTTAACTATCCATCTTTTAAAATGTAATATTATGGTTTATTGTATTAAATATATCTTAATTGTTAAGGTATGCTGCTAAAACAGTAAATTTAATCCCTGGGTGATTAAAAATGGTTGACGTTAGCATAAATAATATTGTTTTAATGAGGAATTAATAATAGTAATAATTCCTATAGAAAGAGATCGTAATATTATATTGAAAGTTTTCTAATTATATCTTGCTTCATGTAGTGTGTGGAGAAGTTTTTTGAAAGTTATTGTTACAGTGTTGGGTGATAACTTCCTACAACAGTATGCAAAAATCGAGTTGTAATCTTTATTGTGTCATTTAGGATTAAAAATTTATCTGGAATTGAATCTAAATCCTATCACTGTGAGGGAGAAATGCAATTGCATGGGGCTATTTAAGATATTAATGATGAGTAATGGCAAAATATCTGCATATGTAAAATGGCTAATCATGCCTTGTAATGAGTTTTTGCAAGGGAAAATCATGAAGTTGGGTCACATAATTGTAGGATGTTTAAGCTATAAAATCCTAATCAAATAAGTGGGGCGTTGAAATTAAAATGACTGAGCAAAGGTCAACTGTAGTTTTGAAACATATCTTGACCAAGTAAATAAACAAGAACAGAAATAAGCAGAAACTCTGGTAGCAAAAGAATAATATAACAAATCACGAATTCCTAATAGTATCCACCCAAGAGCTTAAAGGCAAAAATATAGAATTGCTGACCTTCAGGCTTATGTAATTTATTCTTCAAATCAGACTCGGTGATAGAAGATTGGAAAATAGCCAACATGACACCAATTTTAAAAAGGGACCCAATGGGAAATTATAGGCAGGCTGGCTTGATATTTTTTGGACACATTGGTGGGAACAGAGAAAAGAAATAAGAAATAAAGTAACAAATGTTACTGAAAGAAAAATCAGCATGGATTTTGTACAGGTAAACCCCACTAACAAATCTATTTTAGAGAAAACACACAAATAAAACAGGACATGTATGAACTTTCAGAAAAGAATTCATTGAGTTAATGAAACATGTTGAGTAAATTTAGTAGTCAGATGAAATGCAGATGAAAATAAATGGACAATTTTCTCCATGAAGAAATATAAGACCTAGAGTCATTGAAGAATCTTTTTGGGGATCTAGCTTTTTAACTTGCTCATAAATGACCTTGATTTAGAAAAACATAATGAAATAGACACATTTTGTGGATTATACCGAACACTCAGCATTATGAAAATCAAAAGGATCTCCTTAAAATGGGCAAATGTCACCCAAAACACATGTTCAGTGCTGGCACTAATCCTCAAATTCTCCCTAAAAGTGGTGTGAATGTGATCAATAAGGTTATTTTTGCTATTTCTTTAGGCCATTCCCTCATCTCATCCTCATCCAACAGATAAAGCAGATTACAGTTGTTCCAGATTCAAAGCAGACTTTTCCTCTTCTCCCCAATATCATATATACAGTCTACCATGCTTCATGGTGGATATGGCTGAGGATGCAATTAATGTGAGAGAATCCAACACCTAGATGTCGCTGCTGCAGATGTGCCCCCTTTCATTCAGCTATGTGTAATACTTGGTTTATGATCACAAGTGAGCCCCAAATTTGTATTACTAAGCAAGGCAGCTAAGTGAGTTTTGCCCCATTTTGCAACCACTTTTTATACAGGTATTAAGTGAGAACCATGCAGTCAACTTTGCTTGTTGAAAGCCAACTGGGAAGGTTACAAATGATGACCAGATGAGCCCAGGACAGACATAAAAACATGCCAGTTGCCACGTGCCCAACTTTTGTGCGTGTGACCAGGACGCTGCACAAGGATCATAAATGTGACAGTCATCAGTCACTTTTTTCGGTGCCAACGTAATTTGCTCTTTCTAAACAAATGGTTGTAAATCAAGGACTTCTGTACCAAACCATGTGTATCAGGATAGCCCAGACCCCTGGTCTCGACAAAAGTGGCTGCCTGAATAATGCATGATCTTCACGTTCCAAAGTGCTTGTCAGAACCATATGTCTACTTTTTATATATCCAGATGTAGCACTGTTTTGAAAGAATGTTAGACTTATTCTTCTTATATTTAAATGTATATACTGGGGAGTAATGGGATTGAATGATTGGCACTTTTCCCTGCATGGTTTTTTTTGAGGGACACAATCATAAAAGCACTATTAAACCAAGTTTTAAAATCTTTTTGCCCAAACATGGAACAAGGATTGAAAGAAAAAGAATATGTGAACTAAGAGCTGTAGTCTATATATTTACTACTGACAATTTATGATTAACCATTCAATTTTAAACTTTACTCATGTCATAAAACATACATCTATTCTCTCCCCCACCAATAATAACAGCAAAACCAAAATACCCTCAAATTGTAGCAATTATTATCTACTTCATTCCTAAATACTGTAAATTCACTGTGCATCAGTCATTAGTCACTGAAAGCTCTCGTCTTTTACTGAGACCTAGGGGATGATAGCAGTCCATTTTATACATGACTGCTTTCTTATTGCTTAGAATAAAAATGAAGGGGGAAAAATGCAGAAAAAGTACCAAAAAGAAAAAAAAATAGCAGCAGGTTTGAGGTAGTGGATTTTCTAAGATAGTAATAGTAGCACAGCTTTACTATCAATCCAACTGACATGGCCTAGGCAAACATATTTCAAGAGGGACCTGTTAGGGCAGATGCATCTTTCTTGTTCTCCACATTTGTTCTAGAATAGAGTCCTTCCACTACACCACTGTTAAACTTACAAAAAAGGGGATAATTGCTTTGGCATATAACTGCGGTAACTTACCCAGCTGGTAGTTTCTGTATGATAGGTATCTGTGGCTCTCTTTTTTCTGCACTGTTAATTCTCATTGGAAGGGAAACTGCCGGAGGCTGAAAGGCACTTGCAAGGCCAGGAGGATGATATTCTTCTTCGGGAATTACCTCTTCGCACCTGGAACCTCTGAAGCCTGAGCGGCAAACGCAAAGCTGGGGACGGCTACAGGATCCTTTATTCTGGCATGGAGGGTCACATACAGCTAGGGAAATAAAGAGAAGAATGAATAGAAACAGACATCCACATCATAATATGTCTGTGTCACCCATACATAGGACTTATTTATCTGCTTCCATGAGGTAAAACAATGCAGACAACCTTCAAAAAAGTTACTACTTTTTCAAAATGATCTAACTGCACAAATATTGCAAATAATATTGCGTTTGTAACAGAAGACAATCCCAATTTAGATTAATCCCACTTTAAGAAAAAATAATTTCTTTTGTATTGAGATAAAATGTGTTTACGTCTTTCACAGAAATAATTTTCTTCTTTGTTTACAATAAACTTTGGCTACTGTTCCATTCAAATAAGGCCACTTGTCCCAGATCTAACAATTCAATATAAAAATTTAATATCAAATGTCAAAATCTTTTATGACAGAAATTCCAAAAGTCATTTCAAGAATTTGCATACTCTATTCCTACTGGAGTAGGTAATATTTAAACTTTAATATTTAAGCATCCTTAGTTGAAAAGATTTCACCTTTCTTTTACCTGACATCTATGTGAACCAAGAAGAAACTTGGGATATAGCCAGTGGAACCAAGTTAGACATATAAATGATTAATTACTTGTTTAACAAATTAAAAAGGCAAAGAGTTTCTTGGTCTTTAGGCTCTTCTAAAATTTACCATCTGTTTAGAAAAGGCTTTTTTTTTAGGATTTTAAAAACACTCTTTTAATTAACTCAGGCAAACAGCATCCTGCATTTGAAATATCATTAACACAGGGTGAATAGAAGCTCACATCTGAAATAAGCATTTGTACTATTCCCAGAAATATTTCTCTAATGAGAGAAAGAGGCTGCTGTTTCTGGCCTTGTCCGTTGTTTTTAAGCACTGTTCTGCTTCTGGGACAGTGAGACAATCCTTCACCTTTTATTAAAGAACATTGAGTCAGTTTTCTGGAACAATCACATTAGCAAGACAAAAGATGGCTTTTGGTAAATAATGTACAATTTTGTTGTCATTGAACAGCTGAGAATGTCCTAATTCCTATTTTTCTTTTTGGTGCCATTAGTAGGTCATATTTCATAACATAAAGTACTATGTCTGAAGCACACTGGGGAGCAATATCCAATAAATTGGAAACTTTGACTTCTAGTTCTGGAAGTGTAACTCCTGAGTAATATTTCAGAATTGGGGATGGAGAGCAGATATATTCACAACAAACACTGAAGTCTTCAAAATACCTTTGAAGGTATTTTGGTATTAACCATTCTGTGTGACCATTCTTTTATTAGGTAGGTCATCCAAGATGTTAAGTCATCTAAGATGTTCAATGTTTCATCACAATGGAATTGGGAGATAGTCTCCTGAATTATATGTTGCCTGGGCGTTTTGAGTAGTGATATGAATGACACTGCCTCACAGATTTTTTTTAAAAATCCAAGCAAAAGGTAGCATACCTAGTATTATGGCAGATTGATAATTGCTTAGTAACAAAAAACAAGTCAGTAGCCACAATCTGCAATTGGTCTGCTTTCAACTAATAAATAGCAGCTAGAACTCCAAAACAAATTAACTGGCCTGTGTTTTTTTTTCTTTGCCAATAAGCAAGGAACATTACTACAAGCATTATAGTAATGTCACTACACAAGCCCCACCTTACAATCATTGTGACACTGGCAAGTAAAGGAAGGGCTCATGCACTAATATCATTCCATGGTGAAATTTGTTAATATATTACCTTTATAGGCTGTCCAATTCTACAACTTTAGACAGTATATAGTACAAAAATAGATCATTGCAAACAAGGTGCAAAAAGGGCACAGGTATTTGGGAAATAAATATACCACTTTTTCTAAAAATAATTAGACAACCCATGACCCATTGGGTCATTCATCCTTCCACATAAAATATAGGCTTGCACCATTTCCCCTAGCCAGTCCTACCTCACAAGTAGACATCCCAGCCCCTCCTTCATCTTTCCACATATAGGCTTGACCTCACAATCTTTGGGAGAGCCCTGCTGAATCCTTTTCCTCCTCCTCGGCTGGCCAGAGGAACTGCTTGTCACTTTGCTGGGGGTGGGGGACAAAGGGATCCAAGGAAAACTGCACCCACACTCCCCATCTTGTTATGTCAAGGGCCCCCTCCCTCCAGAGAGGAAGTAGTGGCCAGCCTACCTCACCAACAGGTCCCTTATCCTTCCATAAAAGGATCATCACTGTTAAGAAATTTCAAAATTGTTGGGCTCAGTTCCAATGCAACCAATGATTGCTTGCCAATCAAGCCTTGCCGCCAACCAATTGGTGCAGAGCCAGAGGGAGGCAGGAAAGGCACGGATATACCAATCTACAAGTTTCTGGGAAGCATAGCTGGAAGGCATTGTGGTACTGAAGCAGCCACAACTTCCCCAAATTTCATTCTGACAGGAGTTATGGGTCCCAACATTCTGTTAACCCACCAATTTGAGTTTCTATGGTTCAATAATTGTTGCCTTACCTTTTCCAATTTCTCCCAATTGAAGATTACAAACAGATACAACAGTTTTAATAGTATATCAATAAAACCCTAACTTTCCATAACTTTGCTGCAGACACTTCTGGAGACAGAGAACATAGAAGATAGGGGGGAAAAGCTGTTAATTTGAAAGGCAATGGGAAAGGAAGGAAGTTAAAATTCCACTTAGATTTAGCTGAAACTGGAAAACCAGTAAGAGAGGCAGGCTAATTACATTTGGAGTATCTGTTTTTCTGGGTAGAAATATCATGGGATTCTCATAGAATTACCAGATATATGAACAGGCAAAGGAGAACATTGACAATTTGATGGCAAGAAGGACATACTGGGGTTTGTTTGTTTGTTGGCATCCATGAAAATTGGAGACAAACAATTATTTAGGTCTACATGTATATGAAATTACTTTTTCCAAGATCACTGGTTTTTTATTAATTTTTTTCCAACAAATCTTTATTTTCAAGAACTTAGGTTATAATTACATTGAATTGATGGTGATGATGTGATTTTTAAATTCCACGATTGAAATGTGAGTCACATGACTTTTATAATTACAGTGATCATAGATGTGAAGGAGCTGGATTGATGTGGTTGTCAGTGGACAAGGGAAAGAAAGATACAAACAATTTACAAGTTACAATATAGAAACGTTTGAATGACTACTGTTGTGAAAACAATCCAAAAAAAGAAGACACTCAAAAAAGCCAGACAATATTTGATTTTTACGACTATGCTTGTTGGACAGAAGACATGAGGAAAAAAGACAGCATGTTCTTTCATCAGATGTCTGGTAATCCTTGCTTTTCTCAACTGATTTAGTCAAAATTCTCCAAGTTATAGGTGGTTATGTTGGGGGGAAAGGCTTAAGATGTCCTAGTGTGCATTACCAAAGGCCACTGTTGATAAAGGGAACACACTGCATATAGACTGAGGAATTTGAGGTAGTTTCCGGCAACAAAAGATCTGTCTAAATTCTAAAAACTCTTATTCAGATATTTTATTTTACTGCTGAACTTCATTTACAGATGTTGCACCAGGGAAGCTCAGCTGGCATTAAGAGAACTGATTTTTGGTAGAGTGGTTTGATGACATTTTAATGCATACCTAACTGAGAAATACAATATGTCACATTCTTCCTTGAACAGTGGGATTTTCTGCATAATCAAGTCTTTTTGTAGAAAACACACTGGAGACCTATCTCTGCGAGGATTCTTTTATCTGCAAATTTACAGATTGAAAAGGTAGTTGACAGATTTATTGCAAGAGTAACACTCCCCTCCCCATATAATTTATATTATCCCAAATCCCTTGGAAACTTTGACAGTCAAATCCAAACTGTCATTTTCAAGTCTTGCTCCTGCTTTTCTAGAATGTTGCCTCTTAGCATTTTAAAATAATTTAAATATTTAGTTTTTATTTGAATTAGAGAAAAATTGATTATGAGAAAAAAGTTGATGGTCATTTTTGTTTTATATATGTTTGATGCATTTTTGCTCACATTTTAACTTGTCCAGTTATTCCCCTCCCCTTTTCCCTTTTATGTTAGTTTGCATTTTAATACTTGTTTATGAAATATAATATTTGTAAAATATTTTTCTTGCTCCTGCTTTCCACATTTGGATTGCGCAAGTCAACTGCATAGAATATTGACCCATCCAGAGCAGGAACTGACCAAGCAGAACAGAAAGATCCAAATTAGCAAAGATTCAAATCAGAGGTGGTATTCACCCATAGGTTCTGGACAACCAGTAGCAGAAATTTTGAGTAGTTTGGAGAACCAGCAAATAGGCTGGCCCCGCCCCCACTGCCTCCCAGCCTCCCAGCTCATCTTCTTTTGTTGCCCTGAACAGGACAACGTAGCTGAAAAGTGGGTTAGTGGAGTGGGGAGGGGAGGGCAGGGAATAGGGATTTTGCAGTATCCTTCCCCTGCCACGTCCACAAAGCCATGCCCATAAAGCCACACCACACCCACAAAGACACACCCACAGAACCGGTAGTAAACAATTTTGAATCCCACCACTGATCCAAATATACACAGAACCCAGCAATTTTGATGGTACATTTGCAATGTAACAAAGTCTGTAAGTCTTGATCTGATTTTGGACGTTCTTCCAAATGTAGCAACAGATATTACCTCATATTTGCTCTTACATATGTTTACGAATCCTCAACCAGTGGTAGGTTTCAATTTTTTTTAGGACCTCTTCTGTAGGTGTGGCCTGCTTTGTGGGAGTGGCTTGCTGGCCATGTGAC